AGTGCGTTCCCTCGGATCTCTGCACATCGACTCGATCCGCCGTGAATTTTTCCACACACTCGCCGGTCACCCCGTCGTGATCCTCCGTGATCTGCGGGCACCGATGTTCTCGTTCAGTGATGGATATCCGCCGACGATCGGACGGCACACGCACGTTCCATAGCGCAGCCGGCTCAAACCGAATTAACGAGACTCTCCCGAATCACCGAATCGCCGATCCACGTGACTCGCCATGAATTGCACACTTGGAATTGCCGGGACGTGTCCAGCGTGTTTCGCTCGTATCCATCAATCGTGTGCGGTCACCTGGCTCCCGTGCAGCCCCCGGACTCGTACGTCGCGCGTGATAGTCGCGTGCGAAATGCGGAGTGGTGATGGACAAACCGCGGATGAAAAAGTTAAGGAGGCGCCTTCGTAAGCATAGGGAGACGTATGAGAGTAGGGTGGAGAAGACAGATGATAGGCGAGAAGAAAAGACAGACAGAGAGAGAGAGAGAGAGAGAAAGAGAAAGAGGAGGAGGAGAGAGGAGAAAAGAGAGACAAAACGGGAGAAGAGTTCGGTGAGAGGGTGAGAAAGAGAGAAAGAGAGAAAAGGAGAGAAAGAGAGGAAAAAACGAAAGAACGCGGTCGCTCCCAGAGATTTCGAACTGCACTGCAAACGGGGACCACAGTCCTTACTGAGCCGGAGTTTGACTACGTACTCGCGGCTGCGAGACTTTGGGGTCTGCGCAGTTGGTCACTCACCACCACCATCGCTACCATTTCCACCACCATACCGCCGCAGCCGCCGCCGCCGCCGGTGCCGCCGTCGTCGCCGCCGCCGCCGTCGTCATCGCCGCCACCACCACCGCTTTAACCCCAAACCTCCACCACGGCTCTACCCGATGCCAATCCTAACCTGCCTGTCTGCTCCACCCGGCAGCGCCCTAACTTCGCCCTAACGGAGAAAGCCTCGAGTCACGCGTGAGTCGTGATTCTTATTCATATTCGCGCGAAATTGCGTCTGACCGGGCGGGTCTACGAGGATTATTTCGCGGATTATACGGGCTATCGCGGATAGCGAGAGGGCTCGCGGGAGAGAGACTGAATAGGGTCGAGCGTTACCGGTATCGGCTTTACCGTAATAGCAATCGTAATTACCTCTCTCTTACGACGAGTATTCGCCCGGAAATGTTTGCCACTACCGACGGCATAATATTCCGGGGCGTAATGCCGCAGTGTCGTCGTAAGCGAGGTGCGCGTAAGGGGCGTTAGTAAAAAGCTTGTAATCGTACTCCGTCGTAAATTAATTAAAAATGGTCGGTTGTCCGCCCACTCGCATCCTATAATTACGTTGTTTAATTAATTAAGCGTGCGTACGAGTGCAAACGTCGGCAGTTGCGGCTTAGGCGCGATTGTCGCGGAAATAATAATTAAAAATTACGGCGCATAGATTCGGTTTAAAAATTCGTTTTACTTTTCACGTGCGACTGTAATTTTTAATTATTAAGCCTGACGCTAAGCTCTTTTTCGCGGCATCGCATCGTACGCGCAGCTTTTTAATCTAACCAGCGCGATGCGATAATGATCGCTTTAATTACAATGGGATAAACATCGATAAACATTTACGTTCGCATTAAATCTCTTAAAAATATATAATACGAAAAATTAAAATAAATCGAATTACACGTACAAACAGCACCATTACATATAGTATTACATATATTTAGAAACTTTCGTTAAACGATATGATGCAATACTTCTCCCTTCCATCTGCTTATATCTATTTTTATATTTTCCTTCCTCCATCGCCTGTTGTGACATAAATGTAATAACAGTTTTTGTCTCGCACAACGTGTGATATTTATATTACTTTCCTCGCGATTAAATAACACTTGAAACAAAGATTGCATTTATTGCGAAATTCTAATCAAATCTTTTCAATTTAGTTCGAATCTGATTTTTAAATTATTTTCACTATTCATTGCACCGGACTTCCGTCCGCATCAACGTATAAATTCCATAATTATTGCATCGCAGAGTAAACGACATGTACGAAACTTTTGTATTGCTGCTAAAGAAAATGTCTATATCAAGTCCACGACTAAAAAGTTTCCATCGGAACAAAAAGAATCTTGTCCGAAGTCACGCTGGCTAAAGTTCGTTGCTCCGTACATGTTGTCCCCGCACATTCTACGGATATTGGAGCCTTGCCAAAGTCATTCTCACATTATTCCGCGAGAATATAAGTCTCGAAAAATAGATGAGACTTGTATAGACAATATATCCGTAGTTTAAGAAATCATTGCGAATACTATGAAAATATTTCAAATATTTGTTTTAAATATCGTTAATAATATTTAATTTTTTATTTTCGCTGTACATTAGTGTAACTTTAGCAACGTTAATTTAAAAAATAGCAATTACGTAAATAAGTAAAAGATTTTGTAACTTATTGCTACTGTGAGCATTTTTCACATATTTTAAATATATAATAATACTTTATTATTTAATCCTTAATGTAAAGGATATATTTTTAATTCATTGATATCTTATTTCACAAATAATCTTTTAAATTCTTCATAAATAATGATCTCATCGCCATCTATTGCACACCTTTCTAACTAATATTTCCACTATCAATCGATAAAATAAGACGTTAAAAAATTGTATGAGACATTACTATAATTATAATTTTAAAAATGCTCTAAAATTTATTTTAATTTCCAAAATTTGTTTTTATATTTTATGACATTGATACATTAAAAGTGAAGTATATTAAGCCATGTTATGCAGGATACATGCTAAAATGTAACATATACGCGAATCTGTATGCTTATGTTTCAATAAACCAAGTGCATAGCAAAGATTTATTTCATACGAGCAAATACTGTAAAGAACTGATAAAAAAAACTTACATACAAAGTATTTATTGTGTTTAACGCGATATAAATCTTCTAATTGTATAATAAATTAATATTAAATTTTGATCTTGACGATGTACACGAGGATTACATTGAATATTCGTAGATGCATAAGTAGAGATTATCTGCGAGACGGTTCTAAGTCTTGACACGTACAGCGCATCGTGAATAAACATGATAAAATGAAAGCAAAACGATATACACGTGAAAAATGCGTCCGTACAATATTGCCGGATATAAAGTAGCATTAAGGCTATATGGTCGTATGTTTATAAAGATGTACACGTCTCGTCGAAATATTTAAATATGTTTTCCGATGCATGAACAAATCTCGCCAAATTTTTATCCCAATTTTATAAATATGTCAAATAACCGTAGATATAAATCATCGAATTATTATAAAAAATTATTATTCAAATCATTATTTGTTATTATTCGTAGCTATGTGCGCATTGCAAATATCAAAAATACACATTGTTTTATTCCGCACAAACGTATTATGTTTCATTAATGAAAAATTTTTCAAATCGATGGATAGGCATTTAAATCAGACAAGTGTATTAACGTTGAGAGACGAGAGAAAAACAGCAAAAATAAATAGTCAAGACTTTTAATCCGTTTTCTACTTATATGAAAGGTAATTTCTGTTCTGTCGAATGTATTTACGCGACTTACAGGTGGAAAATTAAATCTCATTAATCTCCGAAGCGTACATTCTCGACCGGTTGACTCCGGCGTCAGAATGCCCGACGTTACGTTCCATTAAATTTGAACCCTGCCGTTACTACCTTGATTCCCTCGGTATACGGCATTCGAAAAAAGATAAAAAGGACAAATCCGCGGCACGCTCCCAGCGAACGAGAGAGGGAAATTAATCCCGGGACGATAATTCAACGATGCGCTATCAGGAAAGCTAATGTCAATCGCAAAGTTAATCGATGCTCTTCTCATTCGTTGCGCCCGCTGATACGAATGGGGTTGGCAGGTCGTTGGTCCCAGTCAAGATCATGAGAGATCCCTATTCTACGGGTTTCGCAATACATACATTCGCGCTATGCGACACGCCTGACCTCCGCGATTGCCGATTCTGGTGAATGCAACAATTCTTCGAAACTGAACAGGACGTGTTGTACTCGCGCCGTTCAATCACGCACTGACTGCATGAACAAACATCGGGTAGACGTATACGAGAGAGTGACACATACCATATCCGACCCATATCGATTTCCCATTGTCCTCTTCAAATCTGAATACATACGTGGCAGAAACGACCCGGCACGAGCGCAAATGCGAGTACGAGTGCTTGTCAGCACAAACTGCAATTGTAGCTTAAAAAAGCATTGCGATAGTTTTATGATATGCAATGTGTTTGTCAGCAATCAAGGAATGAAGCTATTAGAGATATGATCTTGTAGACAGCTTATTCACTTAAAAATCTATGTGATAAATCTGTAAAAATTTGTTATATGTGAATGACGATGTGTTATAAAGTGCAAATAATGCAAGTCTTCTCTGATAAATTTTGTCTTAACTAAGCAAATTATTATATCAAGTACATTAAGGATTGCTCAACAGTTGCATCTTGTTGTATATGCAATGCATCTTTTATAACGCAACGCTTAGTCATAACAATCAACTGTCTGAAATAGCGACTTATTTGCTGATGAAGCATAATGCACTACTAAGCTTATCGTATACGCTTAGTATATCCCGATTAACATGCGCGCTTCTTATTTGATAAATGAAGAGTGAACGTCTTTGCAAACGCACATGAAAAATGATTTAGACGTAGTAGAAAAGATTCCCCAATGAAAATGCAAGTGTATAATATATACTCTACTCAGGAAATCAATCTCTAAAATATTCCACTGGATTATCCGTTTTCGCTCGAATGCACCTTACATACGCAAGCGTCAGTTAGCATAGCAAATTCATGTGATTTCTGCGTCAGTAAAAGAAAAACGTTCCACGAATACGGACGTATGCGAATGTGATGTGACGCTCTAACTCGTGAAACGCGTTTAATAAGAAGAGTAGTTTTACAGATTTACAAGTGATGCGTGAATCGTGAGTAGATATAAAGCCGTAATTCTTTTGCGCACTAATCTAGATATCAATCAATATTTCTGTTAAGTTAAAATTATATTTAAATAACAAATTTTTTACTGTATGTGAATATCTGAATTATCAATAATGACAATAATATCTGAATTATTAATAATGACGATAATACCTGAGCTATTAATAATGACAATAATAACGCGCAGTGTTCCATGCCATTCATAAAAAGTATATTAATGAAACATCGAGAATTAATCGCGTAATTAAATAACTTCTCAGAAAACAAGACAGAATAAAATTCTAGACATGACGAATCGTCATTATACATGTGACTGCGAGCACGATCAAAGATAAATCACAGGCATAAATGTTGTGATGTATGTGACGGCACGTTAGTTTTTCGATCGTTTATCGCGATTGTTTAATTCCTCGTTATTAAGAGATACGTCTTAATTTGAAACCTTGCCTTTAGCGTCATCTGTAAGCAACGTGTGCGTCGCAAAAGAAGAGTAACGCATGCGCGTATTTCTCTCTCTCTTCCTTTCGCCGTTTCGCTCATGTGTGTAGCCGGTATTAATCAATCACCTGTTTCATCGTGAACGTATTTTTTGCGAGCGGTCGACTAGTGCACGCGACATTTGATCTCACTTGGTTTTGATCTACTGTCAAAAGTGAGCAGAAAAACGTGAGTACGGTCCATATAATAATATATTTTGTTATTACTTATTGGTATTAATGAGATGCAATGAGTGTGAATTACAAATGTAATTAATTCCAAATGATTTCGCAAATGCTTGCCTAAGCACAAAGTGATTCCTCTTCCACAACATTTACGTAATTAAAGATTGGAAATTTTTTATATAAATATCATTAAAAAATCGTAAAACATAGCATAGCATTATAAAATATAAAATGGTAATTTAGAATCACGGTCTATGAAATTAATTATATCTATTTATTATGTTAAGCGAATTACGTGTAACACTAAATCCAAGGCATGTATAAAGTCTGTTATTATCACGACACAGTCAGCGTTAACTGGTTTGTTAACACTGGTTTTGTAAACACTGTCATCTTTATGATAGTAGAAATGCAAACAAAATGTTTCATGCGAAAGGTGCACGCTTATCCGACAGCAGCGAACATCATTTATAATGTCCGCGTTGCGTGATTTTTCTTCAGTCGCCGAATCGCATGCACCGTGGCATAATTCAAGTGCAAAAGTCAAACTTGAAGATTTTTCCGTCTATATTCCAATTCACAAGATATATTTGAAGAGAATTAATGTCGCGTCGCGCAAGCGCACGTTTGGCAGTGTCTCTGTCCGTCTTGCGAGCTTTCCGAGCTTTCCGAGCTTCCTATCACGTCGAATTGTGCTCGTTTAGTAAGGGTATATTATCGAGCCGACGCATGCAGACAGCGGTAACAGTCGGCCAAGTGTAAAACTTCTCGCTCGGAAACATCGCATTTGCATCTCCACGGTAAGATAAATCTCTTTCCGTGATTATGTTTCTGATTGTCTCGTCGAGCAATCAGGAGGTTAGGGAGAACAATATCGCATGGGTTGCATCTAATACGCGATAGCCGGCGTTTAAAGGTAGCGAAATGTCTATATCAACGTGGCATTTAGTACGGCATTAGAGTTTTACTTGTTGTGTTTTGTGAAATAACGATATTTTAATCTGCAAAGCTCTGCTTACGTGAGATATTTTTACATACGTGATCGCGAAACTCGTATCTCCGCGACTGAACATTCCTTCTCGAACATTCCTTCTCCAACCAATCATGCTCTGGAATGTCTCTCAAGATTTTTTTTTCAAAAATTAAATTAACAAAAATTATACAAAATATATGTAAATATGTATGACAGACAATTAATATAATTTCGGTAAACTCAATTTTTCATATTCTACTAATTGCATGTAGTTGTGCAACGAGAGGCCAGTTACTGTTTTTGGAATTTTTTATATTATGCTATAAGAGCATTTAAATTATATACACTTTTATATTTTATATATTTTTTTAAATATACCAAAAAAATTTAACCACACGCATAAAAACTATATCTTTGAATTAGTTTTATATTATATAACTATGTCCAATTGTTGAATTGTCATTGTCACAAATCAAGGTTGAAATTACTTTTGTACGCTTCAACAGGGAGGTGCAGCTTCGTCGAATTTATACTAGTTGAAAAAAATAACGCATGCTCGTTTCATCGTTACTTTCATTATCTATTCTTTAGTCTAAATTTTTTAAAATTTTAATTTCAATTTCACTAAAAATATGTCACGAGACGAAAGTATGCTACCAAAAAGTTATGTCTTTAGATGTGTCAAAGCACATATAATATTTTTTGAAAGATTTATCAATGCAAAAATATATTTATATTAATATTTCTTTTCGCGACAACGCTATGTTAATATGAGTTAAAGCAAAATAAATGCACATAATTGCGATTTGAAAAAGGAGAATGGAATGAAACAACGTGAGTAAAGCCAACAGACCGCAAAAACGGTAGCCAAAAACCGTCGCATGCATACTACGTGGATGGAACTACCGAGGCACAGCGAGAGCGCGTCTCGATAGATTTTAACCCTGAGTTCACTCGGATATGATTTAATTTAACCGCGGCTCTGGGCAATCCGGTCGCTCAATTTATCTCCGTCCACCGACGTGCGCGCGCGAGTCGTCGCGACATCACTTCGTATCGTCCTCGTCGGTACCGTCGGTCTGCTAGATCTACCCCGGTCTCTTTGGTATGTAAAATTCTATGCTTTCAAAAGCATTTCGCTTGGTACCGCGGTTGCAAGTGTACGCCGATCCGATAAGAAAACCAGTGAATCAGCAAGTTATTTGCTTACGGTTTTAAATAAAAAATAATTATAAAACGCAGTGAATAAAAGGCAACGCACAGAAAAATATTTTTAATTTAGTTTTTTATCATATTTATCCGCATTGTTACTGCAAAATACGTGAGAAAAAGCTACGAATCAAAGTAACAGTCGATTAGAATCAATTGCTACTACAGCGTCCATTTAGAGCCCAGACAAAAGAATCGAATATATTGCATGTTTGAATTGTTCGAACAGTTTGAAGCAAAAGCATTTGAATTTCAAGCTTGGACGATTCGAACTGTTCAAAGCAATGATCGATTTGCAATGTCGATTCATAATATCTGAAAATTCCAATAGTTCGGACGTTCAGGAAAATTAAAGATTGAAAAATATTATGCATTGCAAATAGAAAATGTACAGCTTTTTATTCCTGCCTAACTGTGCAAATGTCAATATTACGGTGCCAATATTGTTATTTTTTTCATACTGAATATTTGTAAAATTTATTGGAAAATATTTAAAGCAAAAGTTTCGTATGAAATAATTTTAATAGATTCCGCTTATGGAAACAAAATAAAACATAACGTGTGTGCAAGAAAGTATTTAAAACGCATTCAACTACAACGACATTGAATAGATGCCTACAAACGATGTATAATATGATTTCGCAACGAGCATAAATGAGATAAGTATGTATTAGATGTAATATGCTGAAGGTAATTCAGCAAACAGTTCATTCAAACTGTCTCGAAAGATCCGAACTGCTCGACTACTCGAAATTTCCAAACACTAACTTAGAGCCATTGAAATATAAAAAAGTTCTAGCAATGATATATGTGCTGAAACAGATGTAAGAAAATAGAAAAAAAAAGAAAAATTAAAATAGAAAAGAAAATAAAATAAAATAATAGTATCTTAAATATATATTCAAAATTATTGCTATACTGTTACAACAGAGAAATTTAAATTTTGCCTAACTTTTTAGACATTCTAATTTTTCAGATAATTTTTATCTCTTAAATATTGGTGTACTTTGGAATGGTCTCGTGCAAATAACTTGCTATTCGTTTCGCTGGCATACTGACTTGTTTTCGCGCGAGGGACAGATTACAGCCCACTAATATAATCCACTCGTACTCGTCGCCTTCACCGTCGCACATCGCTGCGCGTCGCGAGAGCGGCGAGATCCGGAGACCTCGGTGCTCTTTAATGAAATAGCCATTCTGTGTGTGGAGTGCGACGGAGTGCGCGAGCAATGAATGAGCTGTGCGTCACGAGCGTAATACGCGTATCATCGGCGTCGAAAGTTCAAAACACTTTTTATATCATAGATAAGCTTTGCGGATTTATTCCTATATCTAAAATTACAGAGATGTAAAGTTAATTATCAAAATTATTACAGATTAGTCATTTTTTAAATAAATAAGAACATTTAATATATATTTGAAACATTTTAATGACAATTATTTCCTTTGTAATTTATATAAAAATAAATCCAGAGTTTACCCGTGAAACAAACAGTATTTCAACAGCTATTTTGACGCAGACTATACGTAAGACGTCACGTTTGATGCACGGAGAATGAAATATGTGAGGAATACCTCGTGCAACCTTGTAGCCACCGTGTAGCAAAGTCATTTTTCACGGTCGTTACAAGAGAAATATAGGTGATGTGTCGGTCTCAGATGAAATGCATCTTCATCTATACGTCGATATCGTAAAGCGAGAATCTTTACGTAAGACAAGCGTTTTCGGTATTAATGTAGCTGCGTGATTAGCCATAGAAATGGTTTTATCATAATTTATTTTTCTCGTAATGTATAATTGGTACTTTTTCTGAAAATTTCTTTGCGAATTTTTCGCGGTTTATAATCTCTTTTCTCGACATTCAGTCATTGTTTTAAAAAGTTTAATGATAAGAAAAAATCCTAGATTTGGTGTTAATCTTTCAAATTCTCGAATGCACAGCTTAATTTTTCTTATGTTGTTTTAAATAAATGCTTAATGTGCATACAGCATATTAATCAAGGCGATTGAAAAATATTTTATTAAGTAATTTATATGTGCAAATTTCATATTTTTTTAAATTAATAAAAAAAAATGTTTTAAATGAAATTATTATAGTAAAGCAATACTACTAAAATGATCAAAACTCTGCAATATACGATAAAAGCATTTGTCAGAATGTAATCAACTAATTTAAAATTTTCCAGTACAGTTGAAAAAGTAAATACTGTACATTCGACAATGCTTTAATTAAATTCAATACTTTTACAGATAGGACCAGTCAACAATCGGAGGCAAAAGCCTCATGCATTTAATTAGAGTCACTTTTTTAAATTTATGAGATGTACGATATAAAAAAATTTTTGAACTTTTGAATTAACAATATTGTTCTTACCAATGTTATAAAACATTTTTGTAAACAACATACATTGTTATATAATATTAATTATAAACTTATATCAAAATGCGGAAAAATAAATGTATTTTTACTTTTTAATAAAAATTCGTATTTTAATTATATCTCATAAATTGCGTTATAACATGTATAACGCCAAACAATATGTAAAACTTCACATTTGCTAGATCTTAACGTTTAGTTCTTAAATGAAATCTTGCGCTATTTATATGCGCGGAAGTTTCTAAGAGTCAGAAATAATTAATACCTCCTACTTTTCCACTTCTATCGAAGAATATATATTATATATGCACAATGAAGTTTCGGCACAACGCAATTCGACATTCGCTAGTAAAGTGCATGAATTATCCATTTGCGCAAGTATCGCCTTTATAGAACATCCGCCAATTCGTATAATGATATTACGAAGCGTTCTTATGCAATGGCTAGTACAACTCGCAGAATAGAGACTTTGGCGCGCGAAATTGAATAAGCTCGACTCTCGAAACGACGATAAGACGATATAAGACCATTTCACTTCTCTCGGATCAATAAAAACAGCATTATATAAAATTGTATTCCCTGCCACTAAAAAGAATCCAGATATCTTTTATATATAATACACCTCAACAAAAGTTAAAAATGTATTTTTTATTTACGATTTATTTTAAAGTATATAGTGAATCATACATTTATATAATTTGATCGTCTTGATTATTTCTATATAATTTATTTTCTCGTTCAATTTACTTCTATTTAATTTACTTCCATTTTAATTATAATTTACTTCTATTTTAATTATAATTAAAATCGCCAAAGACCTTTTTTAACCGTGAAAATTGTACTAATGTAATTCTTTTATAATAAAAAAAACTGTCTGAGTTTCCAAAAAGAAAATAAATAATTAAATACATATAAAGAGACGTGATTCTTATTTTAACGCGAGACATTAAAATAAAACACCTAGAAACTTAAATATTATTTCTATTATATGAAAATAATATTTCGCAAAAATATTGCTGAGATAAAAACATTAAATCAAAATTACGAAATAAAATTGTGGCATAAAGCAATATTGTCGGACCATTGATTTAATTATGATCGAAATTATATTACGCAAAAATCGTACAATGCAGAATTTAATTTTAACCAGGGCATGCTCGAATAATAATCTTATTACTGAAATTATTCTCTTAAATGCATTTACCGGCAGAAATAACTAATAACAAAATAAATAATGCAATAAGTCAAAACAGTGACATCTACTTTGCTCATTTAAATGTAAATGATATTGATTTGACAAGCTTGTTCTGAGCGAAAACAACAGATTCTGTACATTAAATATCTAATGACGTATCCATGTCTCGTTATTATCTGAACAGAAAAATAAATGCGGAATCATCAAACGCATATGACGTGAGAAAGAAAGAAAGAGAGACAGCGAGATAATCGCGGTGAGAACGGAAAAGATATTCAACTCGTTCAATTCCATTGATTTAACAAATGCGTCCATCATCGCGTAAATTCCGCTTGGGGGACCTCCGAGGATTCGCCGCTTGAAACCCTGGTCAAAACGCTGTCGCATAAAGAAAGGCGACACTCTCTCGCGCAAAAAGCACCTAGCGGGTCTCGCCCGGAGTTTGAATGCAAATGACTTTATCCTCGATACGGCACTTTCTCGCACGGGTAGGAAAAGAGTTCAGGGGAAAAGACATTCGAAAACTAAAGAATCGTGGCGCCAAAGGCGAGGGCGATGCCGAGAAATATAGCGCGGGGTGGTTTGGCAGTTTCGAAGAGGCAAATGTACATCAGCGGTAATGGTGCTCGCGGGCGAAGGCAAGCTCCGTGACAAGGGGGTGGCTCTCCTCGCCGGTGCAACCGAGCGTGCAACGCGTACCATTCTGGCGGAAAGCCCTGTGCCGACTTCGACCGCGGTAGTTGTCTACCGGCCAAAGGCGTCGACGCGTTTCTTTGTAATGCACTCCGCCAGCATAAAAAGTTAGTCGAACGTGATTCGTCATCGCGATGAATAGAATCGTGCTTGTAATTTAACGGGTTTCAGTATGACTCTCGGCTTGAATTATTTGCAGTAATTTGGCGTAATAGAAGTAGGAAATATTTCCAGTTATACTGTCTAGTGAATTAAAATGGATTCTAACAAATGTGTATACATTTTTCTTTAACTGGAAAAACTTGTCATAAAACTTTGTCATTTACTTGCAGCTTTAAAACTTTATCAATCAAAATACATCGATCGGCAATTGTTTGTAATTTCGTACCTCTTTAAATCTTCGACACATTAACAAATGTTTTTTTATATCGTAATAAAAATCTCTGTATAAAAATGCAGAATAATCTCAATATTTAGTACAACATGCCACTGTGTACGGAAATTTGACTGTGATTGTTTTGTTTTATGGTTAATATAGATTACAATGTCCAAGATGACGACATTGCATTTGCTTGCGGTATTCTTCGCTACTACGGCGTTCGCTCTGAACGAGGAACTGCTGGAGCAGGAATGTCCCGTAGATTGCCACTGTCACTACTTTCGCATCAACTGGGTGACGGACTGCTCGGATAGCAACCTGACGACCATCCCATACAGCGAGCTCAGCCACGATGTCTATGTTTTAGACATGAATGATAATAATATCGCAAACTTCGACCCGTTTCCAAGCTCGATCAAGCTAAGGCGCCTCCAAATGGCGCACAACCAACTAACCGAGCTGACGTACGAGTCGTTCGCCGGATTAACGTACCTTTTGGATGCAGATTTCTCGTATAATGCCATTACACGGGTGGATCCTGAAGCGTTTCGGTAAGGCACTTCGATACCAATTATATTTGCCACAGTCATTAGTCTACTTTCAGACAAGGTGTGATATGGGTTTTGTCAATGATACGATTAATTCAACAGGGACAGTCCGGGTCTAATTACATTGGAACTCCAGCATAATCCTTTGAACGAGGTCGAGGAACATTTCCTGAATTGCCGCACGCTGCTCTACCTCGATCTGAATTCATGTGGCATCCGCCATCTCAACACACGCTTCTTTTACAACACGACGCATCTGAATAAGCTCGACCTGTCGTACAATCCTCTGCAAAGGATAGAACCGGGTCCCTTCGATCATCTGACAAACTTGGAATACCTCAAGCTGAACGGATGCAATTTAACCTATATATCTCCCGAGGCGTTTTCCCACCTAGAAAATCTGCGACAATTAGAGATAGCAGACAATGAATTGAAGACGTTAGATTGGAGGAGCGTTCTCACGCCGTTGGTGCGTCTGGAACATTTAGATATCCGCAACACCGACATCACCAATCTACCGGGTGACGCATTCGCCAAGAACTTGTATCTCCGACAATTGGTCCTCGCGGACAACGAATTGTGGCATCTGGACGTCGAGGATACGCTTGGTCACAACTTGCATAGCCTACAATCACTGGACCTGTCGAATTGCAATTTGCATGACCGCCTATCCGAGGAAGCTTTCAGAAACGCGAGTAAGCTACGCGTACTCAATCTGAGCGGCAATCCGATGTTCGCCAGCGATCTAACTGCCGTTCTTCGCCATTTGCCGAAGCTTCACAAACTCTCGCTCAGCAATTGCAGCCTCCGAAGATTGCCAAATGCGTTCGATATATTCGAACACCTTGAAGAACTCGATATCTCCCATAATCCACTATCCGACGCGTTCGTCAGTCTTCTCAATCCGTTAAGATCTTTGGAGTATTTGGATATGTCTTATTGCGGCCTCGGTTATGTCGGAAATAACACCTTCGCGCAAATGACCTTTCTGAAGCAACTGATTCTTTCGGGCAACGAATTGCATACTCTCGAAGAAGGATTATTCGCGAATCTGACGCGTTTGGAAAGCTTAGAATTGAACAATTGCGACCTCAAGATGCCCGTCGATCCGAAGGTCTTCGGAGATCGTCAATCGACCGATATAATAGAACTGAAACTCAGTGGCAATCCGTTGATCGTGCCCGATGAAGGCTCGCTGCTTCCATTGCAATTATCCAATCTGGAGATTCTGGATCTCAGCAACTGCGGCGTCTCGCATTTGAACGAAAACTTATTTACCATGACGAACAATCTCACTCAATTGAATCTTTCCGGAAATTCCATTTCTGGCGTGGAGAATTTGAGCTCTTTGAAGAAACTGCGCGCGTTAGAGCATATAGATCTCAGTAACAACAATTTGCGCACGATCAATCCTAAGATATTCAAGTCGAATCCGCGTTTACTCTCGGTTAATCTCATGGGGAATCCATTTATCTGCAATTGCTCTATCACGGAGACTTGGGACTGGGCCGTACATGAGAAAGGTGATCTCAATGTACTCGTTGGCAGTCAACCGGCCAACTTTGAAGCCGGCTCCGCCAAGCGAAAGAAAAATCTCTCCTGCGCTTACGACGAGGAAACTTATCGAAGCATGATAGACGAGAATCAGGCAACCGCAAATCGCAAGCACTATCCCAGTCAATTCACACCCTCTCGCACTTGGGCCAAGTACGTTCGCGAGTCCAATTGTAATCGACGTTCATGATATGCGGTGACCAATTATCAACATCGGATGTTGAATGTTTACTACCACAAGGTACGTAGACAAGGGGATGAACTTTGAACAGGTTCCTCACTACCTATTACTATATCGTCATATCACACGAGCCATAAATAATAGCGATATCGCGAAATTTATATATCTGTGGCATTATTTTTGTAGTCATAGAATTAAGGCAAATCTAAAGTAGTTTATGTATCGTAAAAAGCATGTCTGCATCTCAAAATGTTACTATGTCAAATACTCGATTTTGTATATAAATATTCTTCTTTTTTGTATATAGTATTATAATAATCCGTATTTGTCGATCGCAAACTACGTCTTCGTATAACTAGATAAAAGTGTGCTTAGACCAGTGTTAGAATCATCTGCTGCCAATGATCGACATTAAATGGAAACAGTTAGAAAAAAATTCCAAAAATTAGAACAATCGTAATTAAAATAATTCATTACAGCTAAAGTTTTTTATGTATCTACACAAATGTCGCATATATTCATCGCTGAAACAGTCTTTCATGAAGAGTAAATCATCAAATAATTAAGTTAATTATTTCATATTTAAATCGTACAACTTGAAAAAATCTTGTGTTTTCATATCAGTAAAAACACGTAGTTAAATTGATTTTTCGTAAGAATTTTGTAGTACATTAATATTGTTTGTGCATTTAGTGGCTGGTCACATTGTAAGCATTACAAACTGATTGCAATTTCATGGATTATGACTGAATAAACAATAGAGATATGTTTAGTTAATAATTATTCAACAGATAAAGTTTGTAGTATGCGCATGTACCGACATAATCACGCAAACGTCCTGCAATTATGATCTATTTCAGATTATACAATTACACTGACTTGATTTAATGTAATTTCAATCAATTGTTTGAATTATTTAAATTTCTTGCTATTTTAGTTATGTTATATTGATGATATAATTATTAAAATATTTCCATTTTTCATAAACAATAAAATATATAAATAACATAAAATTTATGATATAGAAAGATATATTGGCGTGTAAAAATTCTAATTCAAGTAAAAAATATAATAAAATGTTATCATATTATTATATTGTGAACAAAATTAAACGATATTATTGCATGTTCATTATATGAAATTTTAAACAGTTGTATGTTTGATCGATTAAATAATTCTAAGCAATTCAATGATAAATTAAAACCACTAAAGAAGTCAGTTTTAAAAGGTACATGTTAGCTAGTTTTTATGAGTAACAATTACGCGCAGTTGCATGTTCACATGTACATACGAGTATATACATGAATACAATTACGCTATCGCATCTAATAGCGTGTGAGTACGTGGCCATGAACACTAAATGATCTCCCCTATTTGAACTTCACAATAGCTACGGAAAATGCTTGATTATCGTCGAAAACTGATGTAGTCGTACCTACCTACATTTGAGAAATACACGGAGAAAACTTTGTATCAAATTATTATGATCGGGCAGCAGCCGCGAACCATAAGAGGAATTATAAATTTAAGTACTATGGCTATTATGTGAAAAACATAGTAAAAATTTTCATAATTCCTTCATAGTCCGCGACTACTGCCGTACATAGTAATTTTTGATATAAAATTTTTCTCCTGTATATATACGAGAAAATACGATAGCTGCGTCTTTAATTTGCTGTTCAAACTACACACACATATCCCATGCCTTACTTATGTTAAATTAAACTCAGCTCGCATTATATAATTGTTCGTACGATTTCCAACTACGAGATATTATCGCAAGTAAACACTATAAAACTGATATAAAATAGATTTAATCAATAAAATTACCTCGTGCATTTATAAAACTTGTGGACGGCTTTATATGTGCATTATTTGCATTATGATTTTTGGAAAAGTATATTTCACTACAATGGTATAATTATGACAGTTGTTTAAGACTCTATGAGGTGGGATCAATTGTGCTGTTAATATTTTGATAAAATTTAATAGATTACTTTTTATAGATACTGAATGAACTGATGAGTCTAGTGAAAAAGATTAATACTGCTTTAGTCTAATACATTTACATCTTTCTCAAAAAATTATGACAAGTATGTAAATTTATGATAAAACTTATCGAACTGTCAAGTTTGATTATTGCTAATATATATTTAGAAATATGACGTTACTGTGTAAACAGGAAAACCTCGTATTTGTAATGAAATCTATTATTCTTATTAGTTGATTTTAAAAATGCTTTTGATTGTTTATTCGAACTATAATAGTGTAGTATTTAAGTTGAACTATTCTGAAAGTATATAAAATTTCGAATTTTCTTAGCTTTACAATTTATCGAACTTTTTTGCAAAAGTTAACAATTTTATCTTATCACTATAAGTTCTTTCAACATGGCATTATATCCATTACAAAATAATAATTATGCATTTTTTATGGCAGTAATTATATAATTTTGCATTCAATGTCAAACAAAATTAGTTATCCGTATTATGCTAATCGAATGCCAAAATTGACGTTAACTTTGTGATATACAAGTTAAAATGTTGTATTCTTTTGCACATTATTTCTTTAATATAAACAATTTAATTTTAGTTAATCAATTCAACGCTTTTAGCAAATTAGACATTAAAATTCTACTTTAAATAGTTAGGATTAAAACCAAAGGAAGAAGAAAAAAGAGAAATATAGAACGTAAAGTAGGAAAAAACGCATCTCTCTCGCTTTCATATCCGATCGAGGTCATTCAACTTTTGTGTCGATGAAATAAAGATGTGATGAGGTTAAAGATTGTTCTCGTACTCGGATTATAACGCAGACGACAGCGTGCTAGTTCATTTTATTATAATTACAAAATGTAAAAGACTGTGTTTAATAAAGCTGTCGTTCTTCTTGGTATATGTGTCATCTTTCTCACTTTCACCGTCCACTTGCAATAAAACAGTTGATCTTTTTATACATAGGTCAATCAACTAGTACAGATAATTTAAATTGCGTCGAT